AAAAAAAAAAAAAAAAAAAAACCAATGATAGATGTTTCTGTGTTGTTTTTGTTATGCTTGTTTGTCTTCTAAGTCAACTTGAGTGTTCAAATGAGGTTTTAAAAAAAAAAAAAGCAAATTTTTCATGTATCAACCACAGTCAATAGGCTCTGTTTAGATGATAAGGTTTAAATTTTAAAGGGAAAATTTTACGCAAGGTTGGGAATCTGAGGGAGCTGCATTCGCCGTTTACGTCAATGGTGAAAAGGTTGTGGATTTATGGGGCGGTTATGCCGATTCGAGTGCCAATCGAAAATGGAAATCCGATACCATGTCGTTATTTTTCAGCACAACAAAAGTACTTTGCCTTTTTTTTGCAAAAAGAAAAAAAACGAAATAAAGTAAAGCAGAAGAAAAAAAAAGCGGAAAAAATTGTGATTTTTAAAACGTTTATAGTCAATTTAATGTTTATTGGATAGGTGTATGCTGTGATTCAATTCAGTTTGCATACTTAAAAAAAAAAAAAGAAAGAAATCATGTTACAAATATCCAAGAAAAAGCTGAAATCTAAAAGTCCATTTATGATAATGTCTGTCAAAGATAGTTTTGCTGCTTCATACTATATAATTGATGATTTACTCGAAAAAAAAAGTGTTAAAAAGGTTTTAATTAAAAAACTAAGAACAGTTTTTAAAACTTAGAAATATGTCAAGTTAATGGCTGAGTTTAACAGCTGTTTAAGTCTGTAAATTTCATGTTAGCCTTTAAACCCGCAAATTTAACAGCAGTTATGATAGTGATAATAACAAATTTTTAATTTAAAACAGTAAAAAACATCAAAAATTAGGAAACATTATAGTGCACTTTTTGCCCTCTTTTTCCAGTTATCACTTACTTTTTTAGAGTATATGTGGAATATGTTTTGCAATGTTAGTAGATCGTGGACTTGCTAAATATGAAGATTTAGTAACCAAATATTGGCCAGAATTTGGACAAGCTGGTAAAGAAAAAATTACCATTGAACAATTGTTGGCTCATCAGGTTAAAATTTGAAAAAAAACTAAACAAAAAAATCTTTTGTATTTTCAAAAAGAAGGTTAAACTTTTTAGGTTTTATATAAATATTTACAGATCCAATCTTTTA